AGTATTTGACCTAGAGTCATGAAACTTTACAGGAATGTTAATCAGCATGTGTAGTTGTGCACCTGGGTATTTTCGTGTGGATATTTTTAGTATTTTCAGAGTTATTGCCCTTGACTTAGTAAAATTTTGCAATTTTCAACTTGTGTCGCACGTAACTCAAAAAGTATTTGACCTAGAGTCATGAAACTTTCCAGGAATGTTGATCAGCATGTGTAGTTGTGCACCTGGGTATTTTCGTCTGGATATTTTTAGTATTTTTAGAGTTATTGCCCTTGACTTAGTAAAATTTTGCAATTTTCAACATGTGTCACACGTAACTAAAAAAGTATTTGACCTAGAGTCATGTTACTTTACAGGAATATTGATCAGCATGTGCAGTTGTGCACCAGGTATTTTCGTCTGGATTTATTTAGTATTTTTAGAGTTATTGCCCTTCACTTAGAATTTTTTTGCAATTTTCAACTTGTGTCGCAAGTTACTCAAAAAGGATTTGACATAGTCATTAAACCTTATGGGCAGGTTGCTCATTATATTTAGATTTGCACCTGGGGTTTCGCTTGTGGATTTATCCAGTATTTGTAGAGTTATTTCCCTTGACTTAGTGAAAAGATTGACAGAACAGTGGCGCGGTGGGGGCACCCGTGTCCTATGGACACAATTCTAGTTTATAATTTGGTACAGTTATTAAATAAGACATATCCGTATTCAAGGATAGGTCTAATATATGAAAGGTAGATGGTTTCAAGAGACTTTCGGTCAAGTGTAAATTTAAGTTTTTTCATTATATTTATTCTTTTCCAGGCTTTAGTTTTAGCCGACCAGCGAAGATAATTTGAAAGAATTATACCTAGGTGTTAGGATTATTTATTTCATTTATTGGTTGACCGTGCATAATAATGGACGGATGAATTACTTGTCTTGTTTTACGGGATATTAACATTGATTCAGATTTTGAAGGATTAAATTTGACTTGCCATTTTTTGACCACCTGTCTATTGTTTGCAAGTCTGCATTTAGAATATTGGAAGCTGATAGCGGATCTTCAACAATAATGAATAGACTAGTATCATCAGCGAAAAGTCTGATGTTTGCTTTGATATCAAGAACAATGTCATTTATATATATATTAGAAAAAGAAGTGGCCCGAGTATGGATCCTTGAGGGACACCATCATTAATATAATTATCAGAAGATGTTCAACCTTTAAGAACAACTCTTTGTTTTCTGTTATCAAGATAGGAAGTGAACCAAAGTAAATGACGACCGGAATTTCCATTGTTATTAATTTATAAATAAGGCCCTTATGCCATACACGATCAAGCCCTTTACTGATGTCACAGAAAACAGCTCTCACCTCTTTTCCAGAATCAATGGCTTGAGCAAATAAGTGAGTTGATTTATTGAAGAGTCACCAGGAACAAAACCTGATTGTAATGGGGTAAGCATATTATAAGAATGAAGGAAATTGAATGTATGTTTGAATATGATTCTTTCAAAAACTTTATTGATAGTGCTAATAAGAGTAATAGGACGGTAGTTATTTACTAGAAAAGGATCACCAGATTTAAAAAAAGTGGAGAGACGTTTGCTTCTTTCAAAGCATCAGGAACTGACACATTTGGAGAGAGTAGTTGAAAAGAGAGGAAAGAGAGTCGCTGTGTTCAATTGAGAGTTCTCGTAGGATTCTATTATTTATTTTGTCTGGGCCGCATGCTTTTCCAAGGGGAAGTGATTTTAAGACCGAGTCTACTTCGTCAGGACTGAAGAAAATGTCGGATAATATTGACCCGCTAGAATTTGGTAAATCAGGAAAAATAGGTGCTGCATTTGTATCTGTTTGAGCCACAAAGTATTCATTAAGAAAATTTGCCTTTTGTGTTTCATCTGTTATAGTGTCAATTCCGTTTACGCGAGGAGGTATAGAAAAGGAGACAGAAGGTTAAATGAAGGATTTCAGACAGGTCCAGCAACTCTTAGAATTACATTTTTCCTCTTTAAGCCTATGTGCAAGATTGTCAAAATGAGTTTTTTTTGCCTCACGAATAAGTGTAGTAATTTGGTTTCTAAGAAGACGAAATTTTGTTAAGTGACGCGGTAAATTTGATACTTTGGGAATGCGATACAAGCGTTTGCGTTTCATTATAAGAACTCGAAAGTCATTTTTAAGCCAAGGGGGTCATTTTCGCGTACCAATATTTTCCTATTTGGTATACATTTCTTAGAAATGTTGATAATTTCATTTGTGACATTAGAAGTATAAATGTTTATGTCATTATTTTTCAAATTTCCCAGTCGCATTCAGCGGCTAATTGTCTAAGCATGGTATAATTTCCTTTGTCGAATATCCAAACTTGATGATAGAAATAAGAACGTTTAGTTTTTTTTAAGATTTAGCAGACAATAGATTGGGCAATGATATCTTAAGTCTTGTTGAAGGAAAGGATCACCAACACCACTCGAGTGAATAAGGTTTTTGTTAGTTGTGAAAATCAAGTCAATTGTTGATGTGGAGGATTCCGTGAAGTGTGTTGGAGCGTTTATTACCTGAAACAGTGATAACTGTGAGCATAAGCCATTTACTTTTCTACCAGAGGGAGGGTTTTGAGTATTCAAGTTGAAATCTTCTTATATTAAAATGTTATCTATGTGGGTGTCAATGGTTAGATGCATAGAATCAACAATCAAATTATGATGAACAGGATCGGTATTTTAGAAACAAGTGCAAAACTAATCAGGTTTGTTTGTACCAATGAAATTTATAAAACTAATCCAACTGTGACAATATAATAATACCGAGATAGAATAATACCTACAAAACATGCTTGTAGATGAAAGGCCGACACGCAGTATTCAAATACTGATTGAAACTTAAATTCATATTGAATCTTTCTGGGACAATCCTCTAGCTTGAACCCACGACATCAATGTTGCTAAATGAAAAAAGTATACAAATGCGTTTTATCACAAAAGGCCTTTTTGGCATAAATAATGGTCGTCAATTTATAATGTCGACAAAGAATACTTTAATTCCAACCAATATTTTAGACATCACAGCAAATCTTTTCCTATCTAAGAGAAAGCTGGTCCCAGTTCACTTACATAACTTTAATATTGACATAATACTAGTTTTCATACATCACTTTAGATATTGCGATATTTAACTGTGGTGTTGCGACATTTAACGGTAAGGGAAAATCGTGCGACATTTAACGTTACAATTACGACATATAACGGTAAGAGATTTTGCAATATTTAGCGGTGGTTGCGACATTTAGCTGCAATGGTGCGACTATTAGCGGCCTTGAGACATATAACGGTGCCACAGGCAAGGACTTGCCTTTCGGCAAGTTCATTTGAAATAAATATTTCTAACACTGAAAAACAGTGATTCAGCGCCATCATGACCCTCTTGTTATAAGAAGGTGTATGGCCTAACACAAAGTTTAAGTTAGTGATTGCAGGTTTGCACAACCACAGGTATAACATTAAATATTTCGACAGTCTTTCAAACTTAACAAATTTTACTTGTTAGGCATTGTACTCAGTCATAAAATAGTTAATATATGCAGTTTCAAAACGAGGCGGCAAGAATAACTGGTGCAATATAAGTTATTTTATGTGCCGAATTGTTCAGTTAAATAACAATCCGAGTTTAATCGTTAAATCCCTTAAAACCCCGTTGAATTCGAGAGCTTTATATGTAGCGTTATATAGCGCCTTAGGCGGGTTTGTCAAAGTTAATCAAATAAACGAGATAGAGCACCTTTTTAGAATCCCAGAATGATATCATTGGACTATTTTAAGTTTCTTCTACAGGTAAGTTTTCTTAATTTCTTATTATTGTTCACGCCGATGAAACTCATTCAGCACTTTACAATCATGCATTGCATATAATGACAAGAGAAAATAATACAATTACTTGATAAATATATCAACATTGCCACTGCTGTTAATCAAACCTAAAAAGATTCATTCTTTGCTTCTGGGCAGAATTTTAATTTACGTATAAGCTTATTCTCGATTAAGAAAAAAACTCATTTTAAGTTTTATAGCTTTCTCAAAAAGTAAACTGCATATTTTTTCAAATTAGATTGTTATTTAATTTAAATAAGAAATATCAAAGTTCAATCTACAGATCGACTGTGGAAACTTTCAGAAACTGCATTGCATTGCTCATAAAATAGTAGTTTTCATTTGTTTGAAACTCTGCCTCTGTTTGTTATGTGTAAAATATGAATATCTTTTCTAAATTTGTAAGCTCTGATGTTATAGTATGATATGTTAAAACCAGTTCTTCAAAGTAAGTTTCCAGTTAATCAAGAAAGCAATATCAGATAAGATAATTGATGACATCGGAAGACGGACGCTATTGTATTTGGCTAATACTAATAGCAAATCCTTAATCTTTGGACATAGTTATTTAAAATATTCCTCTGTCTTGGAGCACATCTAAGCTTGTAACCGCTTTATAGCAATCACCTGCGCATGGTCGAGTGGTTAACGCTTCAGACTAGTAATCTTATGATCGCTAGCCGCATGGATTCAAACCTTGACAGGGGCAAGTCGTTGTTTCCTTGAGCAATAAACTTTACACTCATTGCTCAGTACTGGTTGATTCCAGGAACGGATTCGAAAGTGTGTTTATAAGCTAATAGCTTCCTACACAATCCAACTAAAATAAATTCTGTATAAACCAATCACCTGCGCATGAAAATTAAATGTATTGATATCAAATCAATGATATTAACTATTTTTTATGGTTGGAGAATAATTACTTTAAAGGCAGAGGTCATTAAAGAAATGAGTCCAAAAGACACATATGCTCCAACATTCCACTATTTTGTAAGTTTATGGACAGACAGCGTGAGAGCTGAGTAAGACAGCGGGATGGACAGTTAGCAAATTTCTACCTACTCGTTGAGTGAAAGCATAAAATGTAAGGAAGCATTGCTGTCCAGTAATTTCATAAGCTAATACATGTTTCATCCAAGACAAGTCCGTTAAAGAAATCATCATTTATTTTCTAACTGAAAGCATACAATTTGTAGTTATTTAATTTTGATAAGGTCTTCTGGACCAACTGCCCCGACAGCTTTTCTGTGTGCCTCCACTTCCTGTGTTCCGAATTCTGCAGTTGGAGCAGGTTCTAGTGGGAAATTACCGCGATCTTTACCACACACTAGCATAGCTGAATCTCCAATCCCTTCTTTTTGCTTGATATAAGCACCACAGTATCTTATAGCAATGCCGATACGTCGTGCATTACCTGTCATAAAAAAATGTTCGTAGTGACAATAGGTAATTCATTAATCCGTCAATTCTTTAAAACCTTGGTATCAGGATAAATCTTACGACACCCAACCTTATGTACTTTGACCATTTACTAGAAATGCAGAAAATATTTAGCAATAAAAAATTGTTTAATATTATGTAAATGATTTTTTTCAATAAAAATTGTTTATCATTCATAAAACTCAACATCATCGAAGGACGATAACAATCCAGTTATCATTCACTTTCTTAATCTAGGTATTCATCCTTGATATATGATAATAAAATCCTTTTGAAATTTATGTTGATAGCCCTCTACCAACGTTCAATTACGGTTCGGTAACATGATATATGCGGACAAATTGAGTCGCATGTAATGAATATTGAAGAGCATCATATATTAGACGTTGAAATTTTAAGATCTACTCAAATTATCGATGCCGCTGACATAGGAATTAAAACATAGGAGATACCTTCATTAGGGCCCGAAGCATGTACAGTCATTATATGATGTAAAGATGCTTGACCTGGTTTCAGGACAGCGTGAGCAATCGACGATTCGTCTACTTCTACTGGAATTTCTTGACCATATAACAACATGGAATTATCGGCAAACGTTTTATTATGCTCCATCTGACCCTAAATATATTAACAATAAATTTTTGTTTATCTATTTTCTTGCATATCAGACAGGATTATTTACTGTTTACACTGATGTTAGAATATAAGGATCTTAAACCGACCACTGTAACAGACCGGTATGTGTACACAACAAGCAGATATATCCGTTTGTGACGACAGCCGATGTTTTGCCTTTATTAATGAAGTTGTAAATCTAAACGCTACTATAAGAAACCAGAGGGCCATGATGGCCCTGACATTGCTCACCTGATTATGAAAGCTCAATCCCAATATTCAGGATATTTAGACTGGAACAGAATCCCATTAGCAAGGTGTTAGCAAGGTGTTTCCATATTTGGGCTATGTGACATAGTTTTTGACCCCAAGTGACCCATATTCTAACTTGTCCTAGAAATCATCATAACAACCATTCTGACCAATTTCCAGGATATTTGGACTAACACAGTAGCCCCTAGAGTGCTAACAAGGACGAAGGTTTTCAAATATTTGGGCTGTGTGGCCTAGATTTTGACTTCAAATTCGAGCTTGACTTAGAAATCGCCAAAACAATTTTTCTGACCAATTTCCTGGATATTAGGATCAAAGCAGTAGCTTCTAGTGTATTTGAGCTGTGTGACCTAGATTTTAACCCCCAGGTAACCAATATCCGAACTTGACCTAGAAATAATCAAAACAACCTTTCTGATTAATTTCTAGGATATTTGGATCAAAACAGTAGCATCTAGGTGTTAACAAGCGTTTTCCATATTTAAGCTTTGTGACCTAGTTTTTGACCCTAGGTGACCCATATTCTAAGTTGACCTAGAAATCATCAATACAGCTTTTCTGACCGATTTTCAGGTGGTTTTTTTTAGATCAAAACTACTCAGATCATAAGAGGCCCATATTCGAACTTGACCTAGAAATCATCAAAACAACTGATCTGACCAATTTTCTGGATATTTTGATCAAAACAATAGCCAATAGAGTGTCAACAAGATTTTTCTATTTTAAGTTCCTTTGACCTAGTTTTTCATCCAAGATGACCCATTTTCGAACTCATCCGACAAGTATCCTGACCAGGTTTGATGACGATTGAGACAAAAATGTGACCATTAGATTGTTAAAGAGCTAAATGTGGACGGAAGACGGACATTCAACGATCCTCGATACTCACCTTGAGCTAGCTCAGGTGAGCTAATATGTGCTTAACGAAATGTTTGTTGTTGTTTTTTTCGAAATATAATTTACATGATATATACAAGAAAAAGACATCAAACACCGGCTGTCGTAACACACGGGCATATCTAGATTTTGTTTTGTAATTGATAATATGTGCAACTTTTTTTCATTTCTTTCCATTCCGAGGGGCCATTGTTCAAAGGTTATTCCCTCCTTAGTTTTTATATACGATAACTATACAGCAAATACAAAAACAAAATTCAACAAGGAAAAGCGATGTTCACTGGACGCAACTTTCAACTTTCATCATTTCAATACATTATATTCCTTATATAATTTGATGACAAGAAATCAATTTAATTTGAATTTCAAGCAAGTTTTAAGAGTTCTGTCAGCGACACTACAAATTTGTTGATAAATTGTAGTTAATAATTCTGAAGTCCCGTCATGCTCTTTAAATAATAGATGAACATGTGTAAATTTATTCCCACACTCAAATATGAATATGTATTTTGTATGAAATACCTTCAGATGACTTGCTTTTGAAAATTGCACACAGCCATTTTGTAGATTAGATTCTGTTAGAGCAACCCATACGGTAAGTGCATCAGGAGGATCCATTCCTATATGCATATACATTAATAGATCTTAACAATCAAATATACAATAGTGTACGTTGTAATTCTGTCGTGTTTCTAAGACTTTAAGGCTTTTTAAATAAGTAGCACAAAATTATGTTTTTAATTAAGTTACGGGAAGGATAATTGTATTTATATCCAGGACAATAGTTCGGCATAAGAATCGCCTAACCTCAACTCTGAATTTAATTATAAACTATTTTCTCTCAGTCCGACACTTTTCAATGAAACAACTTTGATCATATCTTTTCTATTTTCCACACTCCGTCCAATTTCATCATATTTTTAATGACAGAAATCAATAAACTTTTAGAGAAAATAGTAGATAACATACCTACATATGTGGCATCTTGATGCCAGGCACATACTTTACCCGTTCCTGGATCTTTCGGAAACAAATCTGTCGACCAGCAAAGAATATCTGGACCTAAAGAAAAAAAACAGTAATAGCGGTAGTTTGAGATGAAGAAAACTGCTTAACATTTATGTATTCAGAGCTAACACCATATAAGTGTAATTCACTCGTAAAAGTACCATAGATAAGTAAAGAAGTTTTAAAAACATAATTAGGATATGCTGGTAAAGGTGTCGCCAAAACTACATAAAAAAACTTGTCCGTTACATTGATCATGAATCGTTTAGCATTTTAAATATCAAACGCTTAACATATATTACTTAATAAACCGTATAGCCTATATCAAACGCTGAACATGTTACAGTTGTTGAACCGTATAGCTTATATCAAAGGTTTTTCAATTCATTAAAAAACATTTACAAGCTTCTGTGCCTTACCAAATATTTGCTTAACAATTTGTAGAATGTTTGGATGAGTAACAAGCTGGTGCATCCAGGGAAGTAAGAGGTGAGATTTGAACCTGGAACATTGTAAACATATGCAATTAAAGAAACGCCAAATGTATACTTTCGATCCGTTACATTTCTGTGTTAGATAAATGAGCCGCGTCACGACAAAACCAACATAGTGCGTTTGCGACCAGCATGGATCCAGACCAGCCTGCGCATCCGCGCAGTCTGATCAGGATCCATGCTGGTCGCTATCAGTTTCTCTACCTGTAATAGAGTTGGTAAGCGAACAGCATGGATGCGCAGGCTGGGCTGGATCCATGCTGGTCGCAAACGCACTATGTTGGTTTCGTCGTGACGCGGCTCAAATGAATCTATTCGTTGACTTTATTACTTTAATTTAGACCACGCCAGTTTTACCGTTTTATTTCTTATACTTTTCATCAATGTGAAATCAAGACCATAATTTCCATGAAAACATCTTCATTTGATACTGAAAGAACGAGTAAACTTGAATATAAGTCGCTTAAAACATTCACTCGTCTATCTAATTGATATAAATAAAATTACTGACGGTAAAAAACAACATTTTAGCGGTTGTAGTTCTAGATATATTTACTTTATACATCGGGAAAATGGAGATCAAGATAGCAAGATTGAGCCATAAAATGACACGCACATTTGCTTTTCATAAATATATTCAGCAAATTATCGTCACTCAGATCTACAATAATATTTTCAATGAACTAATTTAACAAATATTCTATGACTTTTTAAGACAGTTTAAAGGACTCCACTGATGCATGGTTTTATACAAGACGGGACTGGAAATAATGTTTCGAGATTAATGCTTAATTCGGTGTAGGCCCAGACAAATAACTTTTGTGTAAAACAATCAGATCATTTGCTTAATTTGTATTTCTAAAATAATCATTTAAATTGTAAAATGAAAACAACTGAAAAGCGTTGCAACGCTTTTCACTCAAACCAGGGTAAGAATAGCTCCCAAATACGATTTTCAATTTATTTCTTTGTATACTTCTTTACTTTCGTTTGCATACATCTCTGTTCTAAGTGCCCTAGCTGATCTATGTAACAAGTTCAAATGATATAATTGACCGCGTCACGACAAAACCAACATAGTGCGTTTTGAGACCAGCATGGATCCAGATCAGGATCCATGTTGTTCGCTTACCAACTCTATTACAAGTGGAGAAACTGACAGCGAACATCATGGATCCTGATCAGACTGCGCGGATGCGCAGGCTGGTCTGGATCCATGCTGGTCGCAAACGCACTATGTTGGTTTTGTCATGGCGTGGCTCATATATTTTAGACTTTTGGACCACAGTGGAATTACTTTTAGTAAGATTCATGTCTACCTCCTCGCGAGGGATTTGACATTAGTGGAAGATAGAAGATTCATACCTATAAGCACCTGTCACCTTCCCACCAAGTCTTTCTTCGTATGCCAGAAATGATTCTAAATAAAATGCAACCTCATCCGCTGTTAGCACATCTAACCCAATAACGAAACCATCTCGGTTGAAGTTCTTCACCTGGTTATCATCCATATCTAACATTTTACAAATAGGTGTCTGAGATAGTATTACAAAAGTTATTCGTACACAAATTAACACACACATTTGTTCTCATTTTTAAACTTTATCCCTATTTATATTTCGTCTCAAGTTTTCATAAAATAAATAAGCGTTATTATATTTTATCCGAACACAACATAATAAACAATTAAAATACGTCAAAAGAAAAGTTAGATTGCGAGATACAGTGCACTTACCTTGTATTTAATATTTTAATATAATGTTATTCGTAACAGAGTAAACAGAGTTGTTCCCCTTATATTTACCCAAGGATATCTCGGAGAACTATTACAATTTTTATGGGCAAGTAATAAGTCAGGTAACAGATGTAAGAATTGGAATTTTAAAGTCTGTACGTTGTTTAAGAAGTATAATATGGAACGATTTTGCAATGTTGAAAATCCGATACAAAAACAAGAGTTGTTTAATATTATATTGCCTAAAGTACTGGAAGATTACATTCATAATTGGAACTGTACTGTTAATCAAGAATCAGGCCGAAATGGCTCTGGTAGAAACAAATTAAGATTATATAAAACATTCAAGAATAACTTTGAAACTGAAAATTATTGTAAGTTAATTTTGAACAGGTCACACAGGGGTGCCTTAGCTAAATTTCGCAGTGGCACAGCTCCAATCGGTATAGAGCTAGGACGCTACAATGGTTTGCCAGTGGAACAACGATTGTGCTCCCACTGTCAAACTATTGTAGAGGATGAAAAGCATGTATTATTATATTGCCCTCTATACGATTCCATTCGTAACGACTTGATTCGAGAAGCACAAATGCTAAACGATGGTTTTGATGCCCTCTCAGACATTGATAAAGTAGGATATATTCTCTCCAATGCAGACATTGTATTTTTAACTGCCAAAACCTGTTTTAACATATTGAATAGAAGAAAACTAATTTTATACAACTGACATTATTTTAAATAACTTTTATGTGTTCTTAGATATACATGTACGATTTAGAAAATACCTTTGCTAATAATCTTCTAAACCGGATTCTGATTAAATTTAACCACAACATAATTTCTATAAAGAATTTTTGGAAGTACTTTGCTACCTCAATATTTTAAATTACATCAGTAGATTCATTTTATCATATGTTCTACTCTGGTTTAAATTAGCAAGGGTATTTTAGATTTTTAGAATTTTATATGTAAATAGTAAGTCAACCTTTAGTCTCTTGTAAATCTTATAGATTGGCAATGTGCATTTATATTGTATTTTATATGTATTTTAACTGTGTACATTGATGAGACTGTAATAAACTAATAAATAAATAAAATAAATAAAAATACAATAATCTATTTAATTCATACATTTTAGATCATATTAAGAAACATTGACATAATAATAATTAATCTGATGTATGAATATACATGTATATCATATATATATATATAGTATCTGCAGGAAAGAGTTTCATATAAGCTTTAAGCTTTCCGTATTGTTATCTTTATACATAATCATGTATTTATTTGTACCCTTTGAAAAAGCCAAATATATGTGTTTAAAAGCTAAATTTGTATTGCAAATTAAAATGCATATATCATCGCCTTAGTTATTTCATGATCAGTATGTTAAACATAATTTGAGCCGCGTTATGACAAAACCAACATAATGCGTTTGCGACCAGCATGGATCCAGACCAGCCTGTGCATCCGCGCAGTCTGATCAGGATCCGTGCTGTTCGCTATTAGTTTCTCTACTTGTTATATGGTCTGTAAGCGAACAGCATGGATCCTGATCTGGATCCATGCTGGTCGCAAACCCATTATGTTGGTTTTGTCGTGACGCGGCTCATTTATAGTAGTCATAATTTAAAAGTATGTCGCATATGCTTAAAAAGAATGTATAATGGAAGGCATGCAATTATATCACTCTCTGTTAACGTGACTTGTAACAGGTTAGAAAATAAAGTTGTAGACTCTATGACGGCTACAGCGCTAGCTCCACTACATTTCAATCCTTTTTCATAATTTTCGATATTCCTAAATATTTTTGAAGACATGATATCGCAAGTGAAAACGTATACAATGTCGAAAAATTATAAACATTTTAGAAAAAAAATAGTTTGTAAAAAATGTATAACTTCTACATGATTATGACCGTGATAACTCTATTAGTGAATGCATTACAGCAAATTTTAGTTTCAATCTCGTAAATCCTAATGTTTTTATGTTTTTATAGGTACCAATCATGTTATTTTATGAAAATAAACTTTTCTTAAATATGCTTTAATAAATATTCCCGCAACGACTTGTTTTTACTTTTTGGCCATTTTGGATGCCAGTAAAATTTAATTTACAGCACGAGACAGTTAATTTTCTGAGCCAATGAAAACGTACTGGTTATTTCAGATTTTGCAAAACGACGTATCTGTTTCACCAAAACCGCTGTCATTAAATTTAAGCAATAAGACCAGATGACGTATTTTCCTAAAATTACTATAAACGTGTTTGAAAATTCTTCCTGCCATAATTGAACGTACATTTCATCTAGATATACACTTATGATCTTGTTGAGTATGATAATAAAACTCTTATGGCTGATTGACACAGTCTGATTTCTTTTCAATATACAACATTCAACGTAGAAAGAACTACATGTACAACCATGTTACCTCTCTTCAATATAACTAGAAATAAGGTTAATCCATATTTTAATGGGTCCGCAACAGATCCTATCGTATAAGGAACTGGTTTCTCATTAGATTGACACATGTGACATGCAATATATTGGCACATAACGTTAGCTCATGGGTAAAATTTAAATAATATGTTATTTAATGTATTATTACACTCAATACGCATCATACATATTTATACTGAGAGGCCAACGTCCTATGAGAGAAATAATTAAATATAAAACATATTTATAATGCATTAATTGCAAATTACAACCCGTATATAACAAATTTAAATAATCTATCGTCTGCTATCAGTAACCGACTAAATACATTTCGCTTACTTTGTTTCTTATTTGTAGTTCACAAAAATGCCATTAACTATGACCCCAAATTGTCGTCTGCCTGTTAAATATCCTTATGTTCCTGTGTAACGCACTTTGGTGTTAAACTTTGACATCAAATTGCGTTTGACCACAAAGTGAGATGTTGCAGTGCTGAGTTGTTTTCTAGCTAAAGACTTAAACCTTTTTGATTTTATCAAATTTTCTATTAAGTCTTTTAATCTTTCTGTATGTCCTCATTATGATATTTCGCATCCTGTTTCAAGTATATCTGCTAATGTCGGAGCTAATGTGGGCAAATATATAAAAGATGGGACATAGACGGTCGCTTGCATTGATCATTGCCATTCACGTAAATCGAGTTGAGTCGAGGGGTTAGAGTCGATGACTTCTAATCCAGTTACCTCTCTGGCATGGGTTCGATCCCTGGGAGATGCTTTGGTAGTTTAGCGCGGAGGAAGGTAGTCTACTACTGGTGTAACTCTCCAGGAACGATGGTTAGGAAACTACCCGCCTATATGACTGAAATACTGCTGGGAAAAGGCGTAAAATCAAACAAACAAACAAACAAACAAAAAATCGAGTTGACCTTCAAGGAGATGACCAGGAAAGACTTGGAGCTAATGACGCGACATTTCTGACGTCAGCAAGTTGAACTTTATGGTTCCGAACGCAAGACAATATCAGTTGTTTCTTGTAACAAGTTTTACTTCATATCTTGTAAAAAAAATAGAAATGACATGACAAGTCTTCAATTGCACTCATAAAGTAATCTGACATAATAATATTCAACCATACCTACTTCTAGCAAAAAAATCAGCGAAATTATATGAAAACTGCAGACTCGGTTTAATTGAGTCTGTTCATGAGGGAAAATGAAAAGATGCAACATCCCTCACGACCCCCCCCCCCCCTTCACACCGGCTTGGGCGGTACTCAAATTTCAACACTTAAAAGTGCTGGAATCAATGATCTCGAAGGACCACGCTCATGTTTTAAATATATATGATTCATCAGATTGTATGACTGATAAGGTTTTATAATATGTCGCTATGGGAGACTCGTCACACATTATATTTAATGAGTATAGTCCCGCTAAAGTCGTTTACAAGTAGATGAATTTAATTCAAATTAACCATAAAACATTTGTATATTGAGAAGTTTTCAATTTTGTCTTAAGGAATAATTATCAGAAAAAAAGGTGAAGTATAAATTCATTGTCACTTATGCTATTTTGTCTTGAGAATATCAGGGTTGAAAAAAATACCAATCGTCATATCGTTTGTTCAAATTAAATTATGATTAAAGTAATTGTTGCGTTGCATACATAAGTTATGTAAATGAATAATGAACACAGTTTTACAATATATTTTATTTATAATGTGAATTGAACATGACAATGATTTATGTATGTTATCTGACAATATACATGCAAACTGGACTGGGTGGTAATGATTAATAACAGATCTGCATGTAATTTTAAACGCGTGCATGTATATGAATTATAAGTTGTCATTATTACAGGTTGTCATTATATATAGTAGTCTAAAAGCCCAGTCGAGAGAGTTCGAATTTGGTAGTTGACCAGAGCAGTTATATACGTTATAGTATTAAAATGTGAAAGTCAGTTTTGCGTTTCTTAATCATCCACTATACAACATAATCTTAACATATTTAATATGTGTGTTTTTGTTGTATGCATACCGTCGAATATTTTAATTATGTTTTTCAAATGACGGAGAAAAAGCATGTGCATGTTCAGCTTTTAAATTATAAATGACAGTAATATAAAAATGTGCAAATTAGACAACAGTGTATTAACTTTGTAAGATATTGATCTAGTTTATTATGAATATTGATATTATACCAACATATTAAAATGCATACAATCAGAAATTCAATACTACAGTATCATGGTGCAATAACAACAATATTTACAAAATACAGGTACAATATCATGAATATGTTGAATTAGAAGATCGTCATATTAACATAAATCATATTTTACTCACAAAAAATAAAATAAAAACAAATATTGTTGGTAGGGTTTTTAATATTATGATTATGATTAATATATTTATTCTCATACATGCTTGCAATATAAACAACCCATAAACTACATATTGAATCCGACAGCCCGCATAGCTCAATCGGTTAGAGCGCGAGACTTGTAATCTCGACATTGTGGGTTCGATTCCCGGGCTGGCCAACTAAAATTACTAATCAGTCTTTCGGATGAGACTTTAAATCGAGGTCCCGTGTATGGGTGCTTAAACACTTGGCACGATAAAGAACCAGGAGAAGCTTCTGGAATTGGGGCATCTTTCTGTATCTGTAATTGCACTATCCTCCGAAAAATAAAATGACTAATACTCTTCTGGAGGGCTCGCCCATATGGGCAACCGGTGGCGAGTATAAATAAACGCAAATACACACAATATTGAATCCGGAAGTGAAGTCGGAGAAAATGCGCATTATGTACGTCCGGGATATAGAAGATGAATTTCATTTTATAATAATATTGTATGTCCAGTTTATAGCGATACATTTCAAGATACTTTACTGTAAATCCTAGTGTTTACAAATTCATACAATTTTTTAACGCAGATAGAAAATTTTCTTATTAGACAAATAGCAATATTGTGTATTAAAGCGTTTAAAAGACAAGACAATTTGGTAGATTAGCATATAAATATGATATTATTAATGTAGTTTTTTTTTACATTCTTAATCAATTATTGATTTGTTTAACTTAATAATAAATTATTGCGCTGTCTTCATTTGTTAGGCGTCTCAAACGTTCTAAATCTGTTACGAAACCATAATAAATTACACGTGTGTCCTTTCTGCAGAAGCACAAAAAATTCATTCATTCCGTAGGCATATTGTGCCTTAAAATGTACCTTCAACGTTGAACTTCTCTTTTTTCTTCGATTTCAAAATTAAAGATATTTAATTACGTGAACATTTTATTCAGCTGAAATTATAGTTAAACGCTTAATGGGATCAGAACTACTTACATTAGTGGGAATGGAACAACACTATAAACAAGCTTTCGATACCAATGGACTATCATCACTGCAGACAAATTTTCTCTAAAAAACACTATATAAGACAAACTGTCATTTAATTAGTTAACACTGCAAAACACTATCACTATAAATCACATGACACGAACTGTAACTATCAAAAGAACTAACACTATATTCAAATGATATCATTTTGTACATGTACGTTATTTATATACTTTAAGTGGGTGATTATATGAAGTTTAATAAACTCTTTCAGTCAATAGGTTAGATAATGTACTTTCTACAGTTCACGAGCTTCTACTTGGTAGACCATAACACGCTCTCATCATAAGATCGAAGTAACTGTCATCATCCACTGTTGAACTGACCCCGGCGTAATAGTTCATGAATTCTTCACGTGTCACCTTCCCATCCGGATTACCAGGTGTATCGATACTGTCCAAGAAGTTCCGAAGAACTTGCTCTTCTGTCCATTCACCGGAAATAAACTTCGGATGTCGCTTGGCGTTGACTGAGTAGACAACTGAAAAATACAAAGCACTTATGTGGAACCAAGCAACTAAGTAAACACACGTGACCTTTAACAAAGCACACAGCTTCTTGGTAAACCAATCAGTAAATCAACAATTCTACAGTGTTTACAATAAATGTAATATAAATATAATACAAAGTATAATCAATGCGTTTGACCTAATAAGTTAACAGTTAACATCCTGGAATCGGAAATGACGAGCTGTTGCCATCAGTATAGAACCAAATGAGCCAGCATATCCTTGCAATTTCACAGGGCTCTGTGATGTTGATAGGCTGATAGCTCATATTCAGTATTTTATCATTGAAATCCCTTTAACTTTGAACGGAATGCTTCAAATTAAAAGTTGGGCAATTTCATTACACAAATTCAACACGTTATGATTCATATTTTCTGTATTTTAGTAAACTCATAGCTGGTCTACAGCTTGATTCATATAGTCATAAAGTATATATGATATATTCTCATCACATATTACTATGTAAGAAACGTACTTTTCAAAATAAATATGTATTCTCTTATTTTCATGTATCTTTAAAGATGAAAGTTGATATTAAGATAACATTGGATATCTTTCTAGTTTTCATTAATTACACAATGATTTATGATTGGCATATTTCTATCAATTATATTTCTACTGTTGATACCAGTGTAGTTTGTGTAAGTAGCATTTTGTATGACTATCACCACATCTGCGTTTTACATGCAATTGTCATTATAATGCTAATTTCTTTCCATGTAAAATATGAAGTATTTATGTTCAGCTCTTCATGTACATTAAAGAGAATAAAATATCTTTTCATCTTTCTTTATAAGAGCAGAAAAGAAAAAAGTTAATGATCACTTCTTCAAAGGCCAATATGTTGACCAATAATTGAAAAGCAAATGCATGTACGTTGGTCACATTTTAATGTTTAACTTATTGACCAAAAAAATCGATTAAGATTTGAAATTCACATTTACAAATATTTCATATTTACTTTGCCGTGTTTGAAATACGGAATCATTGTTTATTGTGTAAAAGATCGTTCGCCACTGGAAGGAAAACATTGAATAGAGGCACTATCATTATAACAATAAGTTCGTTACATTCAATGACGTAGTCTGATATCTTACAGTGATAGAAGGTAAAATCTTACTTAAGAATATGCTGCTTTTATTCTTTTTTTATATATTTTATACTGACGTCATTCAGGGAACAATACAAGTATGTCAAAAGTTATCAGAAATATGATGTCATAAAAAGTTTAAGATTGACCTTCATGTCATCTTTATCTTATTTAAATTATCAACCCTCTAAAGAACAATTAAAAATATCAACTCCCTAAAGAACAATAAAATCCTTAAGTTACGTTTTTCATTTAGTGTAAGTAATATTACATTATGGTTTTATATTTTACTTAACCATTTCCAGAACTTTTGGGCAAAAAAAAAATGTGCAAAAAATAATTGGTTTATATGAATAACTGAATCAAAATAATTTTATTCAAAATTACAGATAAGGTATGCAAAATATTGACACTTTAGTTTATAATGAAATTGATAAAATATTTTCTATTTGTCATTCATAATTGCGCTTGCACAAGAATGGCATCTACATTTTATTGGATACAAAATTATTTTTTTGTATATTGTTGGCTTTTATTGCTTTGTACTGAATAAATGTTATTGTTATATTATCAATTAGACAGTAGTTATTAATGTTTCTCTCACAAGTATGTTCATTACAAAATGTCTGATGCCAATTAATGCCCTAATTGAGAGAATATCTTACTTTTGAGATCTTCAATACTTAATATTCCATCTTTGTTTGCATCTAAAGAATCAAATGCTTCGTTAGTTACTTCTATTCTTCTAAGTGCCATGGGTGGACGTAACTTAGCTACCAGCTCCAAAAAGTCGATTTCACTGTTTTTGTCTTTGTCAAAATGATTAAACAAAATCCATAGATCATCATTAATGATGTCAATACCAAATTCTTTCAGTCCAGTATCAAGTTCTTCGAACGACAATCGTTTATCAAAATTAGTGTCCATTCTCCTAAACATAACTGACAAGCACTTTATTCCGCTTACATTACTCAATAAACATTTGTTTCGTATCAACTGTAGTAAGTTTTCAACTTTCTTGTCAACCATGATTCGAGCTCTACAACTATTCTACACTAAAATACCTTTTTCATATTTTCCATTCCTTACTCTAGTAAATCCTAAATAAAATAAATACGTGATTTTTATGATATTAATATTCTATTATTTTAAGATAGTAACTTCAATGTTATGTTTTTCTTATTGTGCGTTAAATTCCAAAAACGATGTGTTACATTTGCTTTGGTTTTCATCTCACTTTTCTTCCTTCCGGCTAGTGTTTAGAATAATTTTGTAATGAAGAATATTCGATACGAATTCGATACCTTACTGTTAGTAAAGTTGACCTTTACATGTTCATTGATTCTTACGACACCATTATTGGTCTCGTGACCAAAACTCGTTTGTAACTAGGATTCGCGTGTACATTAGTAAGATCTATAATACTATTATGAAAGTGTTTCTCCAATGTTCAGGAAGTTCTTCATACAGATAAAGATCTGTATTGGATATTTCATATATACATTCATAATAAAGAAATAAAAAAAACTACAGGTTTTGTTAATTTAAGACTGTTGCAATAAATACATTACAAAGTTTGTATGAATGTCAATTTAGAAATATGGAATATGATAAATATTATCTAAAGGCTCATTCTGTCCCAGAAATGCTTTTATTTTTATTTCTTAGAAAGCTTTTTATTTTTGGTGTACTTCATAGGAGCCAAAAGTGATACATAAGTAATTTACCTGAACCATCTTTTCCTTCTGTTACTTTTTGGCAATTAGCACAATCAAAGTGATTTAGTATTTTTCTGGATGTTAAAATATTACTTTGTTTACATTTTGCTTCTTTTATGACAAAATAATGTCACATATAGCCCTACTTTCTTCAGGTAAAAGGTATCTTACATGTTCTAAACCATTATTCGAGTGACATTATGCATATTCAAGGGTATACACTAAGTGAACAGATGAAAGACAAAATAAGTTTATATTTTTGCCATATTTATACTTTGCTTCGCACGAACGATAAAAAACACACGTCGCTTAAGGATGCCTGTAAATAAGAGTGGGGCAGTCTTTTCATATTTTAGCCAGATTTATATCTTATCTTAAATATATATCAAAATACCAAAATCAACAGTTGGTCAATCACCATTATATAAGTCAATGTTTTGGAATAGTAAAGTTATTTTTGTATTCGCTGCGTTAGCAGTGAATACAGTTCTATCACAATTTGCGGGATTTCAATAGAAGAATGGGTACCGAACAACGCAATGTAGTTCTACACAGATTTTTTTGTCACACACAAGTGATAAGATTTTGTATTGTCAGTAGTTCATTTTTGATTGTGTTATTTCTATCGTATTTTATTTGCATGTTTTCAGGATATAATCAGTAAAAAGTATCATTAGTATTCATTCGCGTTAACTTTGCGTAAGGAAGTAGTTCGTACCAAAACAAAGTTTTCGACGCTATAGGCCTATTTGTATGTGAAAGCTATCTCATCATTTTCTAAAAGTAGGTACAGAAAACTTACCAATATTATTTGAACTTAATGTAATATGTTTTGGAATTCTTATTTGGATTTCATGCTGTGTAACAGTGTTGATAATTCAGGTGTCTTGATATATTTTTGTTGTTGTTTGAGTTGTTTCCCTTGTTTTACCGCAATATCACTAGTTTTGTCTATGTTTAAGCGGCTTTGTTTGTAAAAAGTTCGAAGTGTTCTTAACTTATTGGAAATATGGATTATTGATAGTTGGTCAGTATTATTTTGAGTTGCATTTGGTTTAAATTAGTGTTTTATAGAGTGTTTGTCATAGATGATTTTTTAATTAAGTAACGAGTGTGGTCTGATTTGAATTGTCATCAGTTTTCGTGATTTGGAACCTTTGAGAATTGTTTTCAGAAAAATCCGTTAATCTAGCTCTCTGTTTACTTAATCTCACATTTAATTCATATCACTTTGCACATTGTGTTTATTATATTTTGCAGAAGTTACAGCAGAGAGAGAGTTTGACAGTATGCGTGTTTGAAGAAGATTATGCTTTTATTGGTACATTTAATTCCACGAACTGGTGAGTTTAGAATTTATTTATGATTATGATGTATTTTATAATAACTTCATTGAATGAACTTATGATTGTGGCGGCCAATAGAAAGCATATAGCTATATTATAAGTTAATATACCTACAGGTTAAGTAGGCTGTTCAATGTGTTCAATTTAGTTTATAAATTATGGAGAGTAATTTTACTTTGGATTAAAAACAGAGTCTTCATTTTATCAGTAATGAATACAAGTGCTACTAATTTGTTGTAGATGTTAATTGCATTTTCAGGTTACCATAAATCATTCTGATAAGCACAATACCTGAGCTGGTCAGGTCAATTATCTAATACATGTTAATCTGTTATACCAATTTATTACAGTTCCAGGTAACCAGGTAACCTGATCTTTTCAGGTACTCTAAATGAATATATGACATTTTCAGGTCATACCCACTTTCTGTCGGGTTACTTATGCAATATCATATAACATAATTTAACATTAGTGAATTTCAGTATACTAATCATTTCCTCAGGTATACCTGAACTTTTCGGGTTATGTTTTAGTATAAATAGTAGGTTTATTCTCAGAAAGGGGGAGATGGGGATAGAATTTTGAGATAGATTTGGATATTAGATTGAGTTTTGGATTAGATAGATTTTGATTAGGATTGTTTTAATGTAAATATTTGAATAATGTCAAGTTTGAGTGTAATAACTTTTAATATGTTTGTGTGTTTGCGAACAAATGAATATGTTTTAGTATAAATAGTAGGTTTATTCTCAGAAAGGGGGAGATGGGGATAGAATTTTGAGATAGATTTGGATATATGATTGAGTTTTGGATTAGATAGATTTTGATTAGGATTGTTTTAATGTAAATATTTGAATAATGTCAAGTTTGAGTGTAATAACTTTTAATATGTTTGTGTGTTTGCGAACAAATGAATAAATGAAAAATAAATAAGTAGAAGTAGAAACTGTATTCGTATGTGTTTATTTCGGGCCTGCTGAATGTTACTTTCATGCAGGACTTTGTTAGCCAGACTTACCTCTCCAATGCTACCTAAGGAGAAGAGACTAAGTTTGGTTACACTAGGAAGTGGCTAGCCGTACGGGCCTGTACGGCTAGCCAAAAGTTCCAGCCGTATGTGAGTCACGTATTACTAACCAGGACACACTGTATTGGCTAGCCGTACGGCACTTTTCAAAATTATATGGAAGTCGAAAATGCATATGTTATTTTGTGTCTTTAAACGAGGATTTTAATCAAGTCTCCGCATTTGTCCTAGTGTGTTCACTTTAATAAAGATGCTCCGCCATTTTGTAAAAAAATGAATATGTACAAGCGGTGTATAATCTATTTTGATAAAAGTGTCAAAGTTGTATGTTATAAGTTTTAACGTGATTTTGATGCTTATGTTTTTTTCCGTTTTATATGTATGAAAGATGATTTGTTAAATGATTTTTGTTAATTAAGCACATGGATCGAATAAATAATGATCGGAGGGGAATGGATAATTAAATAAATAAATAAGTACATAAGAATAATACTGGAAAAAACGGTGAAAAGCAAAAATAATTTAATAATTTTCAAATACAGTATAGATAATTTTAAATATCGAACATAAAAGCAAAATCAATTAATAAGCCTTAATTAAGGCAAACTTTCCTTAATGGACAAACTTCTATACCGTCGGTAATTGACGCAATTATCAGAGCCCAACAACAATTATTTTCGGCGTTTTTTTTATTTGAAAATTAAACTAAATGAAGCAAAAAAAATATCAAAGTTTTGTAAACTATTTCAATTGATGCTTTTTAACTGCATCCAAACGCTATTTTTCTCGACGTCTTGAGATGACAAAAACATATATACTGTACAAATTCGTATACTTTCATTACTGTAGCCAACAAGGCGATTAATCTCTAAAAAGTAAACATACGAAGACAATTGTTGTGTCTTGTACAAATCCTCGCTTAAAGTCATAAAAAACATGCATTTTCGACTTCAGTATAATTTTGAAAGTGCCGTACGGCTAGCCAATACAGTGTGTCCTGGCTAGTCGTAAGTGACTCACGTACGGCTAGAACTTTTGGCTAGCCGTACGGGCCCGTATGGCTAGCCACTTCCTATTTAATACACCGATAAACACTTTCAGAACTAGCAGACGAGAGGCTTTTCTTATCAGTAGTTTTAGGAATAAAGATAACCGGTTGTTTTCTCACTGTATAAATTGTATGTAAAATGGCTGACATGTGGTAGGGTTAACTGGTCATTTGAATACTTTGTGGAGTCAAAAGATGTGTTGAAGAATATACTGTGATGATGCTAAGATCCAACGTTTGCTATTGGTGTAATACATTTTTAAAGCGGACATTTAATCAGAACAAACTAGCGGTTTTGTTTAAGCATAAGATATATCAATTTTACTCGAAGATAAGGGAAGCAACTCGTATTTTTTCACTTGATATACCTCTGTTATTTACGTAGATCATATAGAAAGTGTTAATGGGTTTATTGTAATGGACCATAAATTTGGAGGTTTTTATTTAAATGATAATTATGCATTTAAGACAAAGGAAATTGATTTAACTCTATTTTTATGTTGATGTAATTTGTTTAATTTCAGAGTGTTGATTTCCTCGATTTCATTGACTCGATGATTCATTCTCTGATTTATGATTGTTGATCGAATGTTCTAATGATCAATCAACTTATTGATTTACTGATTGATTGGACATGTCATGGAGCTTAATATAGATGGAGAAGTAACTTAGACGTCATACAGTTAAATTCAGTATTATTGGGGTTGTTCTAGTGCAAGTTATCATGTGTTTCGGGATTTGATGCATCCTGGGTAATAGTAGCCAAAATACCGCCATATTCAATTCCAAGAGGAACATTGACAAAAAAAGACGAAGCAGTTTCTACTTACATAAGAAGCAATATTTATTTATGTTAAAACGTACCATACACACTTTTCCACACAGATATTTCCAAAAAAATCAATGTCGGCAATGTAAACAGTAGTTCATGGATATCGCCGAAGTTTAACGAGAATGCGAGAATCGGGGGTTAGTGGGAAATCCCGATTATCACCGAAGCGCACTGTGGATCTGAATCTGACTATCAACTATTTTCTGAGCTTCCTATCCATTGTATATATATTTGTGGACTGTAAGATGTTGAAATGTGCAGAGTTGTTTGTTTAGATGAGAAATACACAATTTTTGGAGAAACTTTTTGTTTGAATGATAAAGGTATAAACACTTTTTGTAAATGAACATCAGGCTACTATTTTCATAGTAATGGCAGGGCTTCCATTAATGGAAGTTTGTCAAATTTATC